GACAAGGCTTGACGACCACCTTACTGGGGTCGTTTGACCCGAGTACTCTTTCCTGCCATGGCAGGGGGTCGGATTAGATGATCTGCTCAGGTCCCTTCCGACCCTAGAAACTATGAAACTATGAACTCGTGAGGTCTACTACCTTCCAGGGGCCTGCAACTGGTAGAGGCTGCATACTTGAAAAGCATGATCATCACGGGTGACTTCAACTACCCAGGGATCTCGTGGGATGAGCACTCCACTACATCTGATCGCTCACAAAGCTTCTTCACCTGCGTCGAGGATCTGTAACTCAGGAAGAGTATAAGCCAACTAGGAGCAGGCACTCCTAGACTCCTTTGGCCAGAACCAAGTCCATCTAGAGAGTAACCTGCAGATTGAAGGGAAACTAGGTGACAGTAACCATGAGATGATCACTTTTTCAATCCACCACAAGCCAGGGGAAAAAAGAAAGGTCAGCCAGTAGGGTAGAAATCCCTGATTTTAGGCAAGCTGATTTCCATGAAAAACCTCAGGAGATTGATTGGCAAGGCCCTCTGGGACCATGGTCTAGTGAGGAATTGAATACAAGAAGAGTGGTCCTTCCTCAAGGAAGCAGTCCTAAAAGCTCAAAGAAAGTTTATCCCCTTTTGCAAGAAAGGCAGCAAAAGAGCTGGGAGACCCCCTTGGATTAACAGGAAGTCATGGACTTCTTGAAATTAAAAGCAAGAAGCCTACAAGGAATGGAAGTTAAAAACAACTACCAAAAGAGGAATACTCCACAGCTGCCCTCACTTTTAGGGAGTAGATCAGGACAGCAAAAGCACTAACAAAATATAAAATTGGCAACCAGAAAATCAGAAAGACAACAAAAGGTCCTTCTTTAGATATGTAGGAAAATCACAAGTGGAACAAGGGAAGCATAGGGCCCCTGATAAATGAAGTGGGATGGCTGTTAACCAACACTGAGGACAAAACCAAACTCCTAAATGAATTCTTCATGTTGGTATTCCACCAGTCCAAGGGTGCTAGCCATCTTGACAGGATAGGGGATGACTATGGTGGGGGTGACCACCCTCCCATAGTTGACTTAGATTTTGTGGGGGAGCACCTACAAAAGGCTAAATATCTATAAGTTAGTTGGACCGGATAAGCTACATCTGGAGTGCTAAAAAGAACTGGCCAACGTCATTGCGCAACCGATGGCCAAGTTATTTGAAGACTTGTGGCATTTTAGAGAGGTCCCAGAAGACTGGAAAAAGCCAATGTGATACCCATCTTTAGGAAAGGGAGAAAGGATGACCTAGGAAGCTACAGGCCAAATCAGTTTGACCTCAATCCCAGGTAAAATTCTGGAGGAAAAAAAAAAAAAAAAAAAAAAAA